TTGGGCTCCAGTTGTTCTTTCTCCACGCGAGCGGCTCTGCCGAAAAAGTTGTAGCAAATGGGTAATTTGATTATTGCCACTATAGGCCAACTGCCTCAGCGGCCTTCCCCCACGCGTCTGGCTGGGGGCAGAGAAACCATCTCCAAGGAATAATCAAATCAAGGCGAAGTGTGGAAAAACCCCTTCTGATTTCCAGGCGACACAAATAGAATTAGAGCCTCCCGGTTGCTTCACCCCCTCCTCTGTTGGTTTTGTTGGTTTTTTTCTTTTTTTTTTTTTTGGTTTGGTTTGGTTTTGTTATGTTGGTTTTTTGTTTTTTGTTTTTTTTTTTTTTCCCCTTCCAGAAGAGCCCTTTTGTCTCGGTCGCAAACTCCGGCCCAGCCGCGGGGTGCGGAGGATGCGCGGGGTGCGCAGCGGCGGGGCCGGGTGCCGGCGGGTGCCAAAGGAAAACACGCCGGGTGTGTAAAAGCCACTTTTCTTTCCTTCGGCACTGAGAGGGGCCCGGGCCGCTCCCCCCCCGGGCTGCCGGAGGAATGCTCGGAGGCCGCGCAACAAAAGCGGGAACAGCGCGCCTTTGTGCGGCCGCCGTCGGCCGCGGGAAAGCTCCCGCGGGCCCCCCGGGCCCCGCTCCGCCCCAGTAAAACACCCAGCACCGGCGGGGGTTTCTTTTGCCCCGCGTCATTCGGAGGGCACGGACCGGCAGAGCATCCCCCCGCGCCGCGGCCGGTCCCTGGCGGGGCGGGGTGCGCAGCTCTGCGCGGCCCCCCGCTGCCCGCGGATCCGCGCCGGTGCGAAGCCTTGGCCGGTGACACGCGTTGGCTGTCCCCCGGCCAAAGCGCGGGTGTGCGGGAACACGACCCTGCTCCTCTGGCATCCCGGGGCTACCGCCGCGGGGCGGGGTGGGGGGAGCGGAAAATCCCCCTTTTTTTTTTGTTGTTGTTTCTGCTTTCCCGCTCCCACTGGCCGCTCAGGCTGGGCTCCGCGGCCCTGCGTGGAAACAAGTGGGTCCCGGCGCTGCCCGCTCCGCGGTCCCCATGCCGAGAGGTCCCGTCCCGCAGCGGGGTGGCCTCCCTGCCGCTCCGCGCCTCTCCGCGCCTCTCCGCGCCTCTCCGCGCCTCTCCGCGCTAGCTCGGGATGCCAGGCGCCCCGAGGCGCTCTCGGCTGGTCTGCTGCTGTGTAATCAGTGGGGATGAGGGGACTGGCAATAATAATAATAACAACAATAATAATCACAATAATAATAACAACAACAATAACAATAATCATTATAATGTCCCTGGTTTTCTCTGTCCCCATCCCCGGGCAGCCGCCAGCAGAGGGATCTGCTCTTTGCTTTTCCACCCCCCCCCCCCCCCCCCCCCCCGGCTGCTGCCTCGGCATCGGCAACATCTGCTGGGCTGGAGGAGACAGGGTGCTTGAGCAGACGCACAGATGTAAAAGTGACATCTGCTTGTGACAAAGGAGCCAGAATTAGATTAGGCAGGGAGGCCTTTCTGCGATTTAAAAAAAAAAAAAAAAAAAAAAAAAAAAAAAGGGGGAAAATACTAGCTGTAGACTGTGTAAGCATGGGAAGAGGATGTGAAAAGCAGAAATGCTCACTGGGCAGCTGCTATGAGAACTGGAGCAGCACAAGGGAGCTAAAATAGCCCTAAAAGAAGGCTTTACTTTTCCCTCCAGAAGCAAAGATGTGGCCGGGTCAAAGCTTTCCGTCATTACAAGCAAAGGACAGCAGGCAGCAGGGTGCTGCTGCAACTCAGAGGCCGGCAGAGATGCCTTCCTGCAGCTCCTAACCACGCTCCTGGCATCAGCTAGCCAGAGTCCCAGATCTGGATACTTCTCTTTGTTCCCTGATGGAATAAATATAGGGAGGTTCATAAACCCAAAACTTAGGAGAACTGTCTGTTGCTTGCCTTATGAACTGTCCTATTTTGGTCCCATTAATTCAAAACAAACAAACAAACAAACAAACAAAAAACAAAACAAACAAACAAGACCATGATCTTAAGTTTGGGCATGTTTGGTAAAGCAGAAATACACAGCAAAGCTGTGCTTGTCCATTCAACTGCACCCAGTACAGTACCTGCACCAACATACACTACTTAGCAGGAAAAAAAGCACTCCACACATTTCAAATGCTATAGTCTTTGCTTTCTGTTTGGTAAGCAATGCTCTTCCCAGTTATATAAATATTGATGTTGAATATCATTGAATATCATGCCTTTTTTTAAAAAAACCCTATCACTCTTACATCTAGGGATACTTGATGCCCTTTGCAGAGCAGCACAGAGGAGAAATAGTAGGACTGAATTATATTTCAAATTGTAGAAAAAATTGTGCTGTATTGCAAAAATAGAAGTTACAGAGTGTAATGTGCTGTGCACTGGGGTAGATGTAGTAATGCCTTTTATAGGGCCTTGTCTGTAAGCTTGATGAAGTTGGTCAAAACCTACTGAACCTTTTAAAGACTATGATTTCAGCAGAGTGTTGAATAGCCTGCGGG